TTTACACTCCCACCAACAGTGAGTAAGGGTTCCAGTCTCTCCACAACCTCGCCAGCATTTGTTGCTTGCTGTTCTGTTAAATTTTGCTAGTCTTACTGGGGTGAGAGGATAGCATCTGAGATTTTAACTCAGGCTCCATTTACAACACTAACACTACAGTGATAGTACCTGTGAAGATCAATCATGATTGAAACATTGTTTCCTCATCATTTAATATGGTGTCTGGCACATAGTAGACAATCAGTAAATATTTGCTAAGTGAATAATGGTATTTAAATGTTTTTTTTTTACAGGAAGTAAGGTGGAAAAGGAAAGGAAATGGGGAGAAATGGGAACAGTGAGGAAGGGAGGACAGGATGAAAGATGAGTACGAGGAAATAAAAGAGGGAAGAATGGAAGAGAAAGAGGATAAAGGAATAAAGAAAGCAGGAGAGAAGAAGGATAATTAAGAAGTAGGAAGAAAAGAAGGTGAGAAGGGACGTAGGAGGGTAGGAAGGGGAAGAGAGATGAGCGAGGAAAGGTGGGAGACCTTTTCTGCTCTAGTCTCAAAAATCAAGAAACATCAGCTGTGCAATGGTAGAAACATAATGATCTCTCTTCTTTCAGATTAAAGAATCAGGAAATTCCTAAAACCACAAGGCACTGAATTCAGAGAAGCCCAGGCAATTGCAGAGAAGTGGATCTTACCATTTTGGTGTGGGTAGTAGACTGAAAGAGCTCAGTGCTTTCAATTTCAGCATCTTTCTGAATTCCATTCATCCATTTCTTGTATTCCATTCTCACCTGGAGTTTAAAGAAAAGAAGAATTCCATTAAATCTGGAGTTTGACAGGAGAAAGTGCCTTTAAATGGGAGACTATAGCTACAGATGCCAAGTCCTACTCTCTCCTACTGTTTTCAGTTTTCTGTACAATATTTTGTCCTTTCCTATTACTCTTTGCTATATTCATCGAATCTGACACAGCTGAGCCTATTGTTACAGTCACTATGTCAATTCATCTGGCGTAGGGTCTTCCTATTTTTAGCTGGCTCTCCACCTTTTCAATCATAAAGCTCCTCTCTAAGGATAGCTTCCCCTAGCAACATAACCAAAGTATGTGAGAAAAAATTTTGTCATCCTTGCCTCAAGGGAGCATTCTGGCTAATATTCTTCATTGTGCCTGTTTGTTCTTTTGTCAGCCCTTGAAACATTCTTCTCCAGTATTACAGTTCAAAGGCATCAATTCTTCCGTCATCCTTTTTCATTGTCCAGCTTTCATGTATACAGGAAGTGATTTAAGAGACCATGGCCTGAATCAGAGACATCTTAGTCTTCAAACTGACATCATTGCTCTTCAGTAATTCAGAGAGGTTCCAGACAGCAGATTTTCTCAATGTAATACATCCTTTGATTTCTTGCTCTAAGATGCCGAGAATGTTGATATTGGATCCAAGTGATATTATCATTGACAATTTCAATCTTTTCTCCATCTATCATGGTGGTGCTCATCAGCCCATTGGTGAAGATTTGTGTCTTCTTGCTACAACCCATACTAAAGTCTGTAGTCTTCAATCTTCTGCAGCTATTATTTCAAGTGCTCTTACTTTCAGGTAGTAAGTTTGTGTCACCTGCATAATCCAGGGTTTTGGTGTATCTTCCTTAGATTCTTCTTCATATAGTCCAGCTTCTCAAATTATTTTCCCAGCATGTAGACTAAATGGATATAGAGAAAGGCTACAATCCTGACACAATTCCTTATTTTAAACCTTGCAGTGTTACATTGCTCTGTTCAGACAGCAGCTTCTTGGTCTAGGCTCTGGGATTTCCATCGTTCACAATATTAGCCTTAGTTGGGTATGGCCCATGATGTCAAATGCCTTTGCATAGTTGATAAAACACAGATTTTATTCTTATGTTCTCTGCTTTTCATCCTGGGGGATGCATCTGGCATAGGTAATGATAGACCTGGGGTCACAGCTTTTTTTAAAACCCAGTTTGAATTTCTGGCAGTTCTATGTCATTGTACTCCTCTAACCATTTTTAGATGTTTTTCAGCAGTATTTTGCTCAGTTGTGATGTTAATGAGACTGTAAGTAACCGTTCAATAAGACTTTTGGGCTATCTACTGAAAGGAAATAATTACTCTTACCTGGCGATTAAGGAGACAGTGTACCACAAAAAGCACAACCCCCTGCAGAACGTTGATGATGGTGAATAGGTAGGCCATGACTAATCCAGCTGTTCTCCCTGCTGCTTCAACCATAAAATAACCAAGGCCCCACGAACAGCCCAGGATGAACAGCTGAGCAATTGCTTTAAACGTCATGACCCTGGAAAAGAAAAAGAATCATCAAGATTTGTCAGTTGCTTAATGGATTTTTTAGAGGTGACACATTCAACTATTAGCCTCCAGTTATTTATACCCACTTAAAGATGTTTCACAGCAAAAACATGGTACACTACTTCTGAAAGGTCAAGGCTAAAGAAAAATCTAATGATAACAATTCATCTGACACACATGGAGTCTTCATAATGTGCTGGAATTGACCAAGATGGAACTGCTTTTCCCTACCTTTTTTGGGTAATATATTTTGCTAGAAAGCATTTATTATTTGTTTGTAACATATTCATATATTTTTATTCTCAAATATCAAACTTCACTCAAATAATTGTCACCAAATCAGAACTGACACTCCAGCGGATTTCTGAGTCTATAAATTGCATAGAAGAATTCCTATCTTTCTCCTGCATCATATAAATGTATATCTTTGTATAGAGGTACATATATGTATTTGTATGTATATATACAAACCACACAGTAAATCTCACAGAAGGAGACTGCCCATCATTCTTCCATTGAATCTGGTGCATTAGAATTGCTTGCATTTTGGCTGGCAGTGCAACCCCTTACCACTAAGCCACCAGAGCTCCCTTATTATACATATATACAAATACACATGTATGTGTGTGTATGTATACATGTATATATTATAGCTTCCCCAGTATCTCTTTCCAGAGATTATCAATCTGATTCCTGTGCAATAGATCAGTTGACATCCATGTGTATGGTCACTACTTATAGTTTTCTCAAAAAGACATTTGCAATAAATAAATAATTCATACAAATTTCTGTCATGTAATTTCCATTCTTATCTCTGTCACCAAGTCCATATTTTCCAATTAGTGGTCCTTCTTGTTTCTAACTTCTGCATTCTAGTCACCACTAATTGTTAATGTAACTTGATTGCATGCTCAGGTATTCCAGACTGCAAAAGTTGGTAGAAATCCACAGTTCCTTAAACTTTGGCTTTTATGGTCATTGTATATACCTGAATAATAGTTATATCAATAGGACTTCCTTATATGCATATTAATAGTGTCTTATTACTCACATGATTATACTTCGGAATAGATCTTGATATGTTGTT